CCACTACTACTTCAACAGCCGTGTCTTCGGATGATGTTATCGAAGGTGGCAAGTGTGCGGAATCGAGTGCGACAGATGGCGCCTCAAATTCTCTCTCCTTTCAGCCCTTCACTAAACCGCTCTACAAGTCCGTGGTGAAGGTTCGTTATAACAAGCTTTGGTATACCTCCGTGGAGAACGTTGTTGCTGCCATTGAGGCCCAATTCAACCAGTCCAACTCGCCCTATCAGCCCTGTCTGGTGGAGCTAAAACCTGTCCAAAGGGCACCCAAGGTCTGTTATAGCTAAACTACAAATTTATAGATTTTAAATGAAATCATTCGCGAAATCGTGAATTAAAATCGACGAATTTGTGACTAAAAGTGACTCGCTTTGAGTTTCGTTTTTTCTTGCCTTATTACGCTTCAAGCTGTTTGAAGACTTTCCTCTCTCCAACTTTTTGCCTTTCTTTTGGTTGCAGATAATTCCTTCGCATGACTCGATCTACATGGCCGTCAGTTTTAATCGCAGACCACCTTCGCCGCATGCAGTCGTAGAGATACACGGCGAATTGTCGCTTTGTAAGTGCTGCATCTCTGACTTGCCATTTAACTTCCGAGTTTCAGGCTTTTCGAGAATTTAGTTTTATTCTCCTCTCATATTCCCAATTACCTTTTTTCCTAGTGGAGTCGTGTGGTTTGCGAAATGTCTTAGCTTGGGTCACTTAAATTTTATTTTTGCAGAATGTTAAAGTCGGAGTTCGAGTAATCTGTCTCAAGGGTGCTTTGCTGTTTTAAGCAGTTTTAGGTCTAAAACTGCCTCAGCTGCTTCTGACCCCATTTTCTAATCCCATGTTCTATAATAGGCATTCGAACGGCTTACCGTTTTTTGGAAACCGTGACTTCCCGTTGGCTGCTGTTAAAAGGAAGGAGATTTGTTTGTTTCACCCATTTCTTGGGTTGTGACCTGACGCTAGTGTGCTGATTGATGCACGGGTCATTGGGGAGTTTCGATGCGGAGGTCACACACCGGTATGAAATAACAAAAAGCCACTAACTTTTCAGGGGTAGAGCCTACTTTGTTGGGTTCTGATCCACTTTCGTCGA